GCAACCTCCTTATGACCAAAATGGAACACACCAGCCAGTTTGTGAGGAGACACTCTGAACAAGTGGCACATAGCATGGACACAGTGAGTGGCGATGGAGTACAGGCGGCCAGGCAGCAATAGGGAGGCCGTACATGGGACGAGCCCCCGTAAATGACCCAGCCCACCCTGATTGACAAAATGCGAATGGCACACCGCAGTGTGTGAGGAGACCTATAAAGTGGCACATGGCAGAGTGTGGGATGCCTGGACAGCAGCAATGGGAGGCCGTACATCTGCCATGAGCACGCCTAGCGATGGCAAAAAATGTGAGGCGGTACAGTGGGGCTCCATGGCAGTGAGGTGCCTGAGGCAAACCTGAAAGAGTGCACAATGGCAAGCATGGCGGACGAGGACAGTACCCGCAATGGGAGAGGCCGTATGGACAGACATAGAGTAGTGACTCGGACCTGGCAGCAGCAGGCAGGTCGGATGGGGGCCGTATGGCAGGAAATTATCACTGGTTGGGCCAGGCCCGAAATGGGAGGCCCGTAATCTGCCAGCACACCCTATGTCAAAAAATGCTACACACCAGCAGTGTGGTGAGGAGTACCCTGAAAGTCGGGCACATGGCAGAGTATGGCGAGGGATAGACAGCAGCAATGGGAGGCCCGTACAGGGACCCCATGAGACACTCTGGACCTGGCCAGCAGCATGAGGAGGCGGTATAGATAGGGGCCAATGGCAGATTAGGGGGGCCTGGCATGCAGCAATGGGAGGCCCGTAATCTAGCCAGCACCCTATGACAAACAATGGAAACACACCAGCAGTGTGTGAGGAGACCTGAAAGTGGCACATAGGCAGAGTGTGGCGATGGAGACATGCAGCAATGGGAGGCCGTACAGGGACCCATGAGACACTGAGTGGACCTGGCAGCAGCATGAGGAGGCGGTATAGGGGGCCCATGGGCAGAATTAGGGGCCTGGCAGCAGCAATGGGAGGCCCGTAATCTGCCAGCACCCTATGACCAAACTATGTGGAACACTGGGACCTTCTACACATCCAGCAAGTGTGAGGAGACCTGCAAAATTGGCGGCTACATGGCAGAGACACTGTGGCGGATGGAGTACAGCAGCAATGAGAGGCGCCAGTACAGGGAAACCCATGGCAGATTATACGGACCTGGCAGCAGCTTATGGAGAGGCCCGTAATCTGCCAGGCACCCTATGACAAAAATGGAACACTGGCAGCAGTGTGCTGAGGAGACCTGAAAGTGGCACATGGCAGAGTGTGGCGATGGAGACAGCAGCAAATGGAGGCCGTACAGGGACCATGAGAGACTCTGGACCTGGCAGCAGCATGAGGAGGCGGATACTAGGGGCCCATGGCAGATTAGGGGCCTGGCAGCAGCAATGGGAGGCCCGTAATCTGCCAGCACCCTATGACAAAAAATGGAACACACCAGCAGTGTGAGGAGACCTGAAAGTGAAAGTGTGGGCACAGCAATGGGAGGAACAGACCCATGAGAGAAACTCTGGACCTGGCAGCAGCATGAGGAGGCGGTACAGGGGCCCATGGCAGATTAGGGGCCTGGCAGCAGATGGGAGGCCCGTAATCTGCCAGCACCCTATGACAAAAAATGGAACACACCAGCAGTGTGTGAGGAGACCTGAAAGTGGCACATGGCAGAGTGTGGCGATGGAGACAGCAGCAATGGGAGGCCGTACAGGGACCCATGAGAGACTCTGGACCTGGCAGCAGCATGAGGAGGCGGTACAGGGGCCCATGGCAGATTAGGGGCCTGGCAGCAGCTATGGGAGGCCCGTAATCTGCCAGCACCCTATGACAAAAAATGGAACACACCAGCAGTGTGTGAGGAGACCTGAAAGTGGCACATGTTTGGGGGCATGATTCATGGCGGATTTAGTCAGTTTGTGTCAGGAACTGGTGGTTTGAAATCCAGACTAATCCACGCCTGATTCATTTTCACAAACGTGAGTCTCTCCACACTTTGGGTGGACAGTCGTGTCCTCCGCGGAGTTACAATACCTCCTGCCAGCACTAAACACGCGCTCCGATGCCACGCTACTGGCCGGGCATGACAGCCTTTCAAGGGCAAATTCAGCTAGTTGGGGCCAAAGGTCAAGTTTTCGTTGCCCAGTAGTCAAGGGGATTGTCTACCTCGGTTGGCAGGGTGCTGTCCAAGTAGGCCCAAGCCTGTTTGTTTGAGGTCCTGCTCCAGGTCCACCTGATGCTGCTGCTGCTGCGGCTGGTTAGTAGTTTCCTCACTGCGCTGGTGAAGAAAGCTACTCATCATCGACTGCAGACTGAGGCAGCCGCTGCTGGTGGAGCTGCCACTGCTCCTACCACCCCCACCCCTCCCCTGCTGCCATGGCAGCGGAACGCGAGCGCACAGGCCCACAGTGTCTGAGGATGGACGTTGGCAGCACAAAGGCAGAGACCAACTGACTACATAGGTGGTTTTTATAGTACGTTATTTTGGCCTCCCTCTCAGCAGGTGTGAAAAAGGCCACCATTTTGAACGGTAGCGAGGGTCCAACAAGGTGGACAGCCAAAAGTCATCCCTCTGTCTGATGGTTATTATTCGGCTGTCGCTACGCAAGCAACCGAGCATGCTATGGGCCATTTGTGCCAAGGAATGCGAGGGACTCCCTGCCTCCATCTCCACAGCATACTGCCACGGTGCGTCTGGGTCCTCTGTCTCCTCCTCCTCCTCCTCTACCAGATGCTCCTGCTCCTCCACTCCTGTCCGCTGAGTGGAAAAACCACCCATTTCACTCAATAATTCCTGAGCACAAATGTCCTCCTCTACCTCCTCCCTCTTCTTCCTGTCCTGCCCCCACAGGGTCATGTGGCGTTGAGATCTGTGCGCCACGTCTACCGCACCCTGACCAGCCATTGTTAACAGCATTTGTTCCAGGACGTGCAACAGAGGAATGACGTCGTTCATCCCATAGTCCTGCCGACTCACGAATAGCGTGGCCTCCTCAAAGGGCCTGAGCAAGCGGCAGGTGTCACGCATGAGCTGCCAATGGCTGACATCGAAGTTACACAGGGGAGTACCTTTATCCGCTTGTAACATCAGGAAATCGGTGATGGCCTTTCGCTGTTCGTAAAGGCGGTCTAACATGTGTAGGGTTGAATTCCACCTTGTTGCAACGTCGCAGATCAGGCGATGCTGTGGAATTCCGTTCTGCCGCTGCAGCTCAAGGAGGGTGTGCTTTGCGGTGTAGGAATGGCTGAAATGCATGCAAAGTTTACGTGACATTTTAAGGATGTCTTGCAGTGGGATGGTGGATTTTAGGAACCGCTTGACAACCAGATTGAACACGTGAGCCATGCATGGCGCATGGCACAACCTTCCTTGACGCAGAGCAGACACCATGTTCTTTCCGTTGTCGGTCAACATGGTTCCGATTTTCAGTTTGCGCGGAGACAGCCATCTGTCGATTTCTCTGTTCATTACACTCAGAAGTTCCTCCCCTGTGTGACTACGTTCGCCAAGGCATACCAGTGCAGCACAGCGTGACACCGTTGCGCCCTGCACATGTGATATGCCGGTCGGGTAATGGGACTTGGCACGGGGGTGGCGGCTGAGGACACGGCGGAAGAAAAGGTGGTAGAGGCGGACATCTTTTGTGGACCAAGGACGTGCAAACGTGGAGGCAAAAGCGGCGTGACCTGTCCAAGTTGCTGGTGCGGCTGTGCCGGCACCACGTTCACACCCAGTGGGCCGTAAATGACATGTACTGTCCCTGACCGTAGTTACAGCTCCACACGTCGGCGCTGCCGTGCACTTTGGCAGAGACCGACATGCTCAAAGACTGGCCCACCATCTCTTCTACATGTGAATGCAGGGCTGGCACTGCCTTTTTGGCGAAGAAATGACGGCTTGGCACTCTCCACCGCGGCGCGGCACAAGCCATCATTTCTCGGAAAGGTGCTGAGTCCACCACTTGGAAAGGGAGGGACTGCAGCAGCACCAGCAACTTGGACAGGAGGACGTTCAGCTTTTGCACCCGTCGGGTGCGTGCTCGCAAACTGTTGTCTCTTGGAAACGGATTCCAAGAAAGACTGCTGACGGAATCCGTGAAGAGGAGTAGCAGGAGAAGGAGCATCTGAACGAGCGGAAGATGCCAACGAGCGACAACTCCCCTCAGCAGAGGTGTTGGAGCCTTGACTGGCTGATAGAGGGCGATTGACGTCGGGTGACGGAGCAAGTAACGGAGCGGGTGATGGAGCGGGGGCTGGGGCAGGCAGAACCGCCGTATCTTTATCACGGTTTTCCCAGGCCACCAAATGGCGACGCTGCATATGCTGACGCAACGCTGTAGTCCCAACATGGGCCCCCTGGCCACGCTTGACTTTCTGGCCACATAGTCGACATACGGCTACGTTTACTTCCTCGGGCGGCTTGACAAAAAAAAAAATTGCCACACCGCCGAGTAGGAAACTTTGCCCCCGATACTCCTCACTGGCTGACTGCTACTTCCTCCGTGCACACCGGCACCACTACTGGCCGTGGTGGTAGGCTGCAGTGGAGCTGGTGCTCTACTCCGTGGCCGTTTGCCTCCACTGACACTGCTGCGACCCTGCTGCCTCCTGGGCAACCCACCGACTGTTTTTGCTCGCTGCCAAGCTGCCACCCTCTTCTCCTGATGATGCGGAAGCAATAGCCTGATGACGACGAGGCTGCCAAGTGCGATCAGCCTCATCATCATCAATTAGGGTCTCCGCCTCACTACTAGCCCCCTCGGCTGCGTGTGTGGGTCAGGAGACAGACCTGTCTCTAGACCGGCTACCGAGCCACTCTCCTCGCCACTACTTCTTCGCCTGGCTGCTGAAGAGGCGGATGTCTCTCCCCCCGTTCCTGACCGCCCTCTGTTAGCTCTTCCTCACTGTACAGTGGGGCTGAGCCCACAGCATGCGATACTTCGCTTGGTGAGGGAACACCAAAGGACAGGGGCAGGTAGAGGACACGTGATTTCAGTGGGCTTGCTCCCGGGCCATGCCAACTAACGGTTGTGTCTGACGTACCCACCGACCGTTGGCTGTAGGTGTCAGAGGTGACCTGGGAAGAGGAAGACGACCGAGCCAACCAATCGATGACGGCAGGGTTGTCGGTGGAGACACGACCGCTGGATGACACCGGGAGCACTGGCCTCTGGCTGCGACTAGTGCTGCCTCGACCCCTTCCTCTGCTGCCACGTCTGCTCGCTCCTAAAACATTGCCTCCTCTGCCACTCCTCTGCATGTTGTCTGACATACTCTTTAATTAAACGATTCTGTGTCCCTGAGTAACAATTCTGTGTCCCTGAGTAACAATTCTGTGTCCCTGAGTAACAATTCTGTGTCCCTGAGTAACAATTGTGTGTCCCTCAGTAACAATTCTGTGGCCCCTCAGTAACAATTCTGTGTGTCCCTCAGTAACAATTCTGTGTCCCTCAGTAACAATTCTGTGTCCCTCAGTAACAATTCTGTGTCTGTCCCTGAGTAACAATTCTGTGTCTGTCCCTGAGTAACAATTCTGTGTCCCTGAGTAACAATTTTCTGTGTCCCTCAGTAACAATTCTGTGGTCCCTCAGTAACAATTCTGTGTCCCTCAGTAACAATTCTGTGTCCCTCAGTAACAATTCCTCTGAGTAACAATTCTGTGTCTGTCCCTGAGTAACAATTCTGTGTCCCTCAGTAACAATTCTGTGTCCCTCAGTAACAATTCTGTGTCCCTCAGTAACAATTCTGTGTCCCTCAGTAACAATTCTGTGTCTGTCCCTGAGTAACAAAGTAACAATTCTGTGTCCCTGAGTAACAATTCTGTGTCCCTCAGTAACAATTCTGTGTCCCTGTCCCTGAGTAACAATTCTGTGTCTGTCCCTGAGTAACAATTCTGTGTCCCCTGATGGTAACAATTTCGTTGTCCCTGAGTAACAATTGTGTCCCTAAGTAACAATTCTGTGGCCCTCAGTAACAATTCTGTGTCCCTCAGTAACAGTAACAATTCTGTGTCTTGTCCCCTGAGTAACATTTCTGTGTCCCTCAGTAACAATTCTGTGTCCCTCTACTAAGTACAATTCTTTGTCTGTCCCTAAGTAACAATTCCTGTGGCCCTAAGTAACAATTCTGTGTCCCCAGTAACAACGTTTCTGTGCCCTCAGTAACAATTCTGTGTCTGTCCCTGAGTAACAATTCTGTGTCCCTCAGTAACAATTCTGTGTCCCTCAGTAACAATTCTGTGTCCCTCAGTAACAATTCTGTGTCCCTGAGTAACAATTCTGTGTCCCTAAGTAAACAATTGTCCCTAAGTAATGTTTCTGTGGCCCTAAGTAACAATTCTGTGTCCCTAAGTAACGATTCTGTCCCTAAGTAACATTTCTGTGCCCTAAGTAACGTTTCTGTCTGCCCTAAGTAACAATTCTGTAGCCCTAAGTAACGTTTCTGTGGCCCTAAGTAACGTTTCTGTGGCCCTAAGTAACAATTCTGTGTCCCTCAGTAACAATTCTGTGTCCCTCAGTAACAATTCTGTGTCTGTCCCTGAGTAACAATTCTGTGTCCCTAAGTAACGTTTCTGTGCCCTAAGTAACGGTTTTCTGTGGCCCTCAGTAACAATTCTGTGTGTCCCTCAGTAACAATTCTGTGTCTGTCCCTAAGTAACAATTCTGTGGTCCCTAAGTAACAATTCTGTGGCCCTAAGTAACGTTTTCTGTGTCCCTAAGTAACGGTTCTGTGTCCCTCAGTAACAATTCTGTGTCCCTCAGTAACAATTCTGTGTCTGTCCCTGAGTAACAATTCTGTGTCCCTAAGTAACGTTTCTGTGCCCTAAAACGGTTTCTGTGGCCCTCAGTAACAATTCTGTGTCCCTCAGTAACAATTCTGTGT